TGTACCATCTAGTGTATTAAATAATAAATTTTGATTTAGTAAAATTTAATTTTATTTAATTTTTTAATTTAATTTAATTCTACAGCTTCAACCGGTAAAAATGAGCATCATAGGAATCAAAGTAAAACTGTCGTTCATACATCACAAATTGAATGACATTGGATGGATTTGATAGGTATTTTATTAATCCTGTTTATATATAAGAACGGAAATGACGCTTCTATTTCAGAATGATAATGGAAATGTTCCTACTATTTCAGAAACTTTTCTTCAATACACTTGCTAAAACTAAAGTATTGTAATCAATGGAGTCTTTGAAATGACAAAATTGTTCAATTTAAAATTTTTAGCTATATGAGTGACAGAGTGAGATTGTCATTTGTCAATATGAGGAGCATTCATTCGTCATTTGTGAGGAGCTGTAAGAAAAACTTCATTGTTTTTGATGTAAAAGAATGTTTTTCAACTAAAAGAAATGCAATACTTGATATTTGGAAATACGATGCTAAAATTAATGATCCATATTAGAATTCAATAGACGTTACAATTTCAGAATTATCTTCAAAAAGTTCGTTTTTGTTCATTTGATCAGAAGTTTTTGTTTGTTTGATCAGAAACAGAAAAAGTTTTTGTTTGTTTGATCAGAAACAACAATTATTCATTCTCTTGCACTAAGTATACATACAAATTACAGCAATCCCTTGATTAACGCGGTTAATAAATCCCCAAGGTTTACCGTGTTAAACAAAACCGCGCTAATCAAACTTAAGAATATATGGGAATAATTATAATGAATCTTCAAAAATAGCAAAGTTACATAATAATTTTTTTTCCACTAAAATTCATCATATTTTTTTACAAATAATAGGGGAAATAAATAAAAAAAATGCGAATGAATTAACATTTATTTTTTACTGAAAAACGAATCCAATTTCAATTGCACAGTAGATTAGCATGTTTCAATTCAAGTTTAATTTAATTTAGCTAGTAAAAAAATGGCATCATTTATAGAAAAAAAAGTGGTCTAAGTTACCCCATTTTACGGTACTTTTTATAAGTCTAATTTCAATTGTTGAGTGAGGGGGGTAATAAATTCTAGAGGGGTAATAAATTAACTAGTACACATAGCATATTGGAAAGCAGGACCTGGAAGCTTGGAAAGGCCAGGAACTTTACACTTTCAGTCCATTATTTACAAATACTATCCCTTTCCAGAATTTTAGCTGTGATTGGTTGATAGGATTGGGATTTTAGCCCCTTGCAGCTTTCCAGCTGTAGTTGGATAATGGAATTGTAAGGTTATCTGCTTTCTAGCTGTGATTGGTTGATGGGGATGCTTTCAAGCTGTGATTGGTTGTGCTTATAAGCCCGGTCCCCAAGTATGGTATATGTACCACAGTACTGGTTAACTTAATACCGTCAACCGGGGCTACTCGGGACAAGCGGGGCTACTCGGGACAGGCCTCCGACACGTCGCAAAACTGTTGTAGTAGCAAAACTAATTGGAATATTGCCAAACTAAAAATAGTGGCGTAAACGTCAACATTTTTCTTATCTATGTAGTATAAAGGAAGTTGAAAAATACTACATTTACTTGCTTTGAAAAATTCCTGAAAAAAATGGTGAAAAACTATATTTTGTAAAGTTACAACTGCTAAGG